AAGGTCCGTGTTGAGCCTGGCAAGGGGCACCAGTTAGTGGTGAACCGCAACCGCCGCAGCGGCATGCTGTCTGTCGACGGGGAGCCCCACGTCAGCGGGGAGAGCCCGACGGGCACCGATGGGCTCAACCTCGACACAGACCTGTTCATCGGGGGAGCGCCGGAGGACCAAATGGCTGTGTGAGTGAGGGCGCTGGACCGCTGCCGTGGGTGTCGCGGCATCTGCTGCGGGCAGAGCATCCGTGGTGGCTGCAGCCCGTTGCCTACTAGCAGGCTTCAGGCGGTGCCTTGGGGGAGCTTCTCTGGGCCGGGGGGGGCCTCTTAACACCCTGCTGGGGAGCACAGCCTGACCCAGATGCGTGGAGAACCTCTGCATTTTTGTCCTCGGGGACAAAACCCCCGCCCACTTTGTCCTCTGTCCCCTCAGGGTGGCAGATCGTACTGCGGCTACAACCGGCCTGAAGGGCTGCATCCGCCTCCTGGACGTGAACAACCAGATGTACGACCTGCGGGAGAAAGGCAGTGATGTGCTGTATGGCAGCGGGGTGGGCGAGTGCGGCAACGACCCCTGTCACCCCAACCCCTGCCACCATGGTGGCATCTGCCATGTCAAGGAGGCAGAGATGTTCCACTGCGAGTGTCTCTACACCTACACCGGTACGGGGAGGGGGCTGCCGAGAGAGCGTTGCTGGGGCTCCTGGTCCCGCTGGCTGGCCCTGAGGGATCCCGGAGCCTCGGGCTCACCTTGTGAGCTACAGTGGGGGGGTGTGGTGCGGAGTGTCAGCGGTGGGATAGAGGGAGAAGTCGCATCCAGTGAAGACCATAAATTCAGAATGTGGACCGACTAATAAGTGCATAAGACGATGGCCAGGATCTGTCTGTCCTCACGCACAAAAACATTTCCCATTACATTTTAGGGGCATAGTCTGGCACGCGTATCATCTGCCGTTTGCGAGGTCCGCTGCAGGGGCTTCTTGGGTCGCGGGAGTTCAACCTGAGACAGGAGAAAAAGGCTGGCAGGGCATCAGGAGACATCAGAGACATTTGTCTCTGGCCAGATTGTGCCTGATGACTGTCGGCTTGAGATGCTGATGTGACGGGCTCCCTTTTCTGCTGCAGGTCCGACGTGTGCCGACGAGAGGAATCCCTGCGACCCTACGCCCTGCCACGTCTCTGCCACCTGCCTGGTGCTGCCAGAGGGAGGTGCCTTGTGCGCCTGTCCCATGGGCCGGGAAGGAGACTTCTGCGAGCTAGGTGGGACGGGAGCTGGCAGAGGAGCGGGGCTGGGGAAGGGGGTGGAACTGAAGGTGCTGATTTCCCCAGCCTGGGTGGCCAGGAGGCTTTGCCTGCTGTGGCTTTGGGGCACTGGCTGAAGCTGCTCTGCCTCCTCTTCCTCACCATTCCCTCGTTTGTGCCCAGTGACGGAGCAGGACCACACCATGCCCTTCCTCCCGGAGTTCAATGGCTTCTCCTACCTGGAGCTGAACGGGCTGCAGACCTTCGTTCCTGACCTGCAGTAAGTGCCAGGGGACGGGAGAGGGGCAGGCGGGCGCATCGCCTCTGTGGCTGATTTGGGGCAGAGCGCTCCCGCTCTGAGCATCGCCTGTGACACGCTGGCTCTCCCTGGAGGTATTCCCTGTCGACAGGTTTTGGAGGTTTTGTCCAGAGGGACTGGCATCACCAGTATCCCCGCAGCCAGACTGAGCCAGCACCGCACCCCGGGTGCTTGGCGTCGCAGTGGGCTGGGTAAATAGGCACTGTGGAGTGGCATCCCGAGCGTGGCAGATGTATCCCTTACCTAGCAAGGGTGCCTTGCAGGGGTGGCATCTCTGCCATATCTGTAGTCCCAGGCAGGCAGAGGTCCTCCCAGGGCTCAGCACATGGGGCCAGAGGAACAGAGCACGTGGGCAGCTGGATTGGAGGGTATTCGTAATCCTTCTCTCCTCCAGGGACAAAATGTCCATGGAAGTTGTGTTCCTGGCCAAGAACCCCAGCGGCATGATCTTCTACAACGGGCAGAAGACAGATGGCAAAGGGGACTTTGTCTCACTGGCCTTACACGATGGCTACCTGGAGTACAGATACGACCTGGGCAAAGGGGCGGCTGTGCTGAGGTAGGGTGGGCTGCAGGCTGGGGAGCTGCTCCTCAGGGGGGTGGTGACAGGAGAGCGACAGCGGAGGTTTTCAGCGTCTAGCACTGGCTCTGAGCTCCCCTCCCCAGAAAACCGGGAGGAAGCCGGGGAGAGGGAGCAGGCTTCACACTGGCCTCGGCTGTTTGCCACAATGGCTCTTGGGCAGCTGTCCCCATGGGGGACACCCTCTTTCCCAGGCTAACGCCGGGCTGTGTGCGTGGCTGCGAGCTGGGGCAGCCCTAGCTGGTCAAGCAGTGGTGGCTTGGGCTGCCTGAGCTGGTCAGGGGAGGTTTCCAGCACTGTGTTTGCAGGTGGTGATGGCAGAGCTCTCACCCAGGTGCCTTCTCCTCCCTTCTCACCACCAGGAGCAAGGAGCCAGTTCCCCTCAACACCTGGATAAGTGTCTTGTTGGAGAGGAACGGACGCAAAGGGGTAATGAGGATCAACAACGGCGAGAGGGTGATGGGAGAGTCACCGGTAAGTTGATGGGCCAGGGAGAGCTCTCTGGGCTTCCAGCCCTGCTCCTTTTATGTGTGAAATGAGCCGAGAAGTTCCCAGGCTCATGGGCTTTTTAATCCCTGCGGTGCATGGCTTTAAGAGTGGAGGAGGAGTGGGCAGGACCTGGGGAGAACAGGATGCTGCAGGGCAGAGCTTCCCTGCCCCTCTTGGCTGCTCTGCAGCCTGGCCCGGGTGCTGTAGGACAGCAACTGCACACCTCTTCCAGCTCTTCCTCCCTCCTCGTCCCCCACCGCAGAGCTGCAGCCCCTTTGCCAGCCACGCGCGTGTCCTGATTCTTGGCGCCTTGGTTTCAGGGACGTGTTTTCCTGAGCCTCCCTCGCGCACGTGCACGCACCTCACCCCTTTTTCGCAGGTCCTCGAGCATCCCTGCACCGGGGCAGGTACGCAAGGGTGGGTTCCAGCCTGTGCCCGTGGTGCTGGGCTCAAGAGCCCTCCGCGGTGCTGGCTGCGCAGGGAGCTTGGCCGGGAGGAAGTCACAGAGTAGTAAAAGCCCCGTTGCGCTGTTGCTGTTCGCTCCGTTAGTGCCGTCTCTGCTCGGTTCCCAAGCTGGCAGCTTACCTCTCTGACTTCTCCCGTGTCCTGTCCCCTCTGCGCTTCTGTCTCTGCACAACCAGCGGTTCCCCAGGGTTTCACGGCATGGCCGCTGGCCTTCCTTTCATCTGCCTTTCCAGCAGGGAAGCTGATAATGCAGGAAAAGCCCCAACTGCTGCTGAACTCGTCATTAAGCTCCACATAGAAGTGCAGCATCAAGATTATGCAGCATTCCTG